TAGCATTTAAAATCGTTTTTTTTTCAACTTTTTGCTGGAGTATGCATTGAAATAGGTAGTAATGTTTACTTGATACAAGTTACAAAATGGAAATAGCACAGAAAGTAATTATCTGCGTGTCCTTTCACTTGCTGGTTGTTAGTGGCGTGGCGTGGCTGTACAATGTGTATAAAGGTCTGGTAGTGGCGGGCTGGCGGCGCAGCAGCCGGTGTGCTACAGCCACAAAAACCGGTCTGAGAGGAATGAGACCGACTTGTAGTCAAGGCACTACACAATATTGATCAATCGATTTTTGGAACGCCGATTAAAATTGTATTCATGTTATGACTTAGACACGAAGAGCTTTAAATGTTTTTCTTACTGAAATCATATCACACCGGTCTATTTTTTATTCTTTAATATCTTTAGCGTTATAAGTTAAGATTTTGACAAAAATAAATCATATCAGATTTGCAAAATAAGTATGTATAAAAATAGGGATAGGCCATGTGGCATTCCGTGCCATTTTTGTGAGGCAAGCGATTGTTGGAAAACTTTGCTAATTCCCAGGATAAAGGCGCTTTAGGCTTGTTAGAAACAAGTTGACAAACCATCTTTCTCATTACCTTTTTAAAACATATCATTATCCTATTGAATATTATCACATCCAAAAGGACTACGAACGTACCTAACTTTGAAACTTGCATTTCAAATTTTCGCTCGTTTTCCTCATTCATCTTGTACAGGCAACTACTTGTACGCGAAATATTATTTTTCATTTACATCATTCGAAGTAGGATTTAAATATTTATGCTGAGTAATATAAATGAATTTAAGTTATAGACGAAAAACGTTATCTGACCAGGCGGACATAAGTCAAACTAAATTATGATAGCTCACTAGCGCCACCCTATCTTGTATTTTTTCTTTAGTGGCATTTTTTGTGTATAAATAGGTTTTATATATTTTGTAACAGATCTAAACGCGATAACTGCGCCTCTTACACCGTGTCAGATATTGTTTGACTATATTTACGAATAACTGTGAATAAATTAACATAATCTTGTCTCTTAGTCACACGATAATAATCTATGAGCTGATAAATACGAAGAATATACAAAAAAAATATCACTTGTTTATATCAGTACTTTGAAAATATCTGTATTACACCAAAAATACCGTTACAATGCTTAGATAAACACGTGTTTTAACCCTTAGAGCACAGGTGAGTGATATTATGGTTGTGGACATCAACGCGGTTATAAAAGATAATTTATTCTTAAATATATATCGCAAAAACTACTTCCGATACTTTATTATTTATTCAATAAACATATTTCAATAGACGTGATTTCTTGTAATGTCTAATATCGGCGTGCGATAAAAGGGTTGTTAAGGGACAAATTTGAAAGCTAAAATGTTGTGAAACGAGTCTGTTATTTATGATTTGACCGCGTAATATCGGATCATTTAACCTGATTCGTAAAAATTACTATATTAAACTCAAACGCGAATCCATGTAAGCTTCTTATGTCGCAACACAATAGATTGATTTTTGAACCCTATCAACTTTAAGGATCGCCATAAACCTCATTGTTAATAAATCTAAAGTGTTAAAAAAACTCTGTCTTGGAAATATTAACATATAATACAAACATAAACCTTTTGTTTGACATAAGGCACAAATTATATGAATTTTTTTGGTGCGGTGTTAGTCTCACTCCCTTATTTCGTCCAATAAATATTTCTAACATTGAAAAATCACTTTATAGCCTTAAGTCTTAAAAAAGATGGACCCTCATATTTTAAAATATTATTTAATAAACTAAATATTTTTATGTTCATACACTAACTTATCGCCAATCACTCTAACCGTGGGTTTTTGACATCAAAATCTCTGTATAAAACATATCCTCATCTTTATCAAAACAGAGAAAATGATATGTTTTAAACGGGGATTTGAACTCGGAAATCGATGGTTAAAACTCTAATTTTGGAGCGCTAACAACTAAGTACAAATGCAAAATAAAGATCGTGAGTTCTAATCCGTCTTCTGACTGTTGAATTTAGGTGTGCTACCAGCAAACACGTACATTGATAGTTCGTCCTATAAATAATAAAGTTATGAATATAAATTTAAAATTATTTTGGCATGTGTAAAGCTTTAAAAACAGTGACAATCTCTTTCCATTGCCAAACATGCAAATTGCTAAGGATAAACTACTTCGGTCGTATCACTGAATAATGAATTAATAAATCGAAATGTTACTTATCAAATTACAATTTGTGGACTTTAGACTATAGTCTTACGAGGATATCTGGCGCGGTGATAGAGCTACCGTTTTTGCGTTTAGCTCTGCTAATAATATGTAAAATTTTCATGGGCATAAAGAATGTTATGAAATGCGATGTCTATGGGCAGTGATCACTTCACTATTTAAGCGAATTTAAGTTGCCATTTGTTTTTTTTTTTATAACAGAAGGGGGCAAACGAGCAGCGGGAACACCGAAGTGTTCAACGACGTTTGCTTACCACCTTTACTATTTTTTTAAATGACATGTAAGTAATATAATCTTGCTTTTATACGCATGAAGATTACTATTACTGTTTTAGTTTCATACGGTTCTGGGCCTTAAGTTTAACAAATTGTAGGCAAAATAACAGCATATAATTTGATTTGCTGTATTTATTTATCGATCACATTATGATGTCTACCCATGTAGACAGTAATTATTTTACGGCAACTATGTAGAAACGTAGTATTAATTTAATATCAATAACTTGCTATTTACATAATAAGATTTCTTTTCTCCTTCTAAATTATATAGTAATAATAAGAAAAACAAGTATTGAAAAAAAAATCTTATTTTTGATATAAATTCCAAACGAAAAGTTAATTTAAAAGTTTCCCATTTACAACTTGGACTGCTTCGAAATAGCTTCTTTCATTTAAATTAAAGTATAAATTGCCTTTAAGTTACAATGATTCCTTTTATACATTTTATAATAACTTGATATATTTTTTGTGGTGATAATTGTATATACACATTAGCTGTTGCCCGCGACTCCGTCCGCGTGTTTGTCTAAAAAAATAAAAATTAAGGGTGGACTACCCTTAACATTTAAGGGGATGAAAAATAGATGTTGGCCGATTCTCAGACCTCCTATATATGCTCAAAAAATTTAATGAGAATCGGTCAAGCCATTTCGGAGGAGTATGGAAACGAAAATTGTGACACGAGAATTTTATATATAAGATTACCGATCCTTAGATCATTGTTCAGGGTTCGAATTCCAGAAAAGCTAGGAACAAAATAATACAATAGTACTTTCTTATTGATTACATGACTGTTAATATTTAAAAACTACCTATCGCCTTCGACTCGTCCGCGTAGATTAAAAAAACTTACTTTGTAGCCTATGTGTTTTTCCAAGCTATGTTCTACACCTATGCCAAATATCAGCAAATGCAGTCGTTCTGGAGATACATCAAACAAACATCCATCCAAAAATTCACGTTTATATTAGTAAGAATTAAGATGTATCATAGATGATATTTTATTTTTTATCATAAAGCTTTTATAGTTGATACAGGAGTGACAAGCTGATATCGCTAAAACAACGAAGTGACCGCTGCAACAAGTTAATAAGTTGCAGAGAACTTGCCTTTAACTGATTGGAGGAGGGAATGAATATCAAAAGTTTATTTACTTCCTATCTCCGGCATATTCTCTTTCCTATACTTTACATATTAGAAAAAGTTGAATAATGGGCGCCAACAGGTGGAAGGGAGGGGCAGTTGCTCCCCTCCCCCCACCTAGATAATTGGAAATTTTTAAGTAGATTCAAAAATTGCTTCGACTAAGACCGTATTATAAGTGTCTGCCAATCACCCTAGACATAGCCTAAATCATCGTCTGGCGACGCCCATGACTTGAAACTACCTAAATGTAACATGTAACACGCTACCCGTGTTACTTTTGTAATGGGGCACTTACTACTTCTTTTTGTGATCTTATTATAAAAATTAGCAATTAGAATATTATTATTTATAACATGAAATGAACAATTGAAACCTGTTCATAAATAAGACAACAATATTTAATTCGTGCAATCAAGTGCGCCAATTCTCAATCCAGTTAGTATTTCTTAATATTGCAATATCAAACGGCTATAAAGTTGCGTTCAAATGCCATTCTCAACTACACAACTCTGCTTTTATTTATTACAAATCATAATTCACGACATACGAAATAACAGAAGTGACAGTTGTATTATAAAAACGATACCAGTGTTATTTTATTGACGAGCGTTTGCAAGCGAATTAATCTCCGCGAAATAAAAAATAATAATTAGTACCGTATGTGTTCTTCCAGACTATGTTCTATATCTGCGCCTCATCGAGATCCCTTTAGTCGTTTTGAAGATACCTTCTAACAAATATCCATGTGAACATTAGAATTTATGACATTAGTAAGGTTAAATCATTAAGAAGTGACATGAGTGTAAGATTTGAGATTAAAAAATGCTTAAAATATGAAAATTTCACAATTCAAAAATATTTTTGAATGCAATAACTCCTGTTATGATGTATAATTAAAACCTTCTTAAAAAAAGTGTCATATGTTTTTATAAAAAAAAATAAAGATAAAAATATCATTATCTGTTTGATCGAAATAACATGATTATTACTTTATTTATTATTATTAAACATAAAAGGCACTTAACCGCTCGTCAATCGCTTAATAAAGAAAAAGAAAAATATATTTTCCATACAAAATATAAATTCATTATATTTTTTTAATCTATTCAGTAAATTATGACTAAGGACATTATAAATGGCTCTTACCCGAGCGCAAACTACCCGGAACACCTGCATTCTTTCTCTCTTATAAAATATTCTTTATTCGAAATAAAAGGTGGTTTCGTTTTTTAAACATCGCATTTTACATTTTATAAGTTGACAGTTTTAATTTTTTTTTCAACGAGTATTTTAGATATATTTTGTTTTTTTTTACAGCGTTCCGAAAGCCTTGAGACATCACTGTCTGGTCCTCGTGATACCAAGCAAAGCGTGTACGCTATGAATGATCAGGTTAGTTATTAGATTCCTATTTTATTCTATTTATCTTCTGGGTATAATGATATATGTATTGTAATTCAGTTATTACACGAACAACCAAGAAGGTAGGTAAAGTAATAATTAGTAAGTATTTAGCGCGTATTTTCTATTGAGAGCTCCCATCCTCTAAATTACACTTCCCATTGTGAACAATAAATGTCGTTCCTAATATGTTAAAGCGAAAGGTGGACGATCTTGTCAAAAATTACAATTCTCTAATTTCCTTGGATACAGTAAATTAATTAAAAGTTCATTTGAAGTTTGAGTTAAACAAAATAGAATCAACATAATCTATATTACCCTGGATACCTATTTCATAGGTTCAAGGGTTAATAAGTTAAAAATACGAATACATATTAACAATTATTGATGTTAAATAACATATTGGAAAATAATGTTTCAATCTTGTAGAACGGTGTACGCTCCTGACGATATTATCCTTGAAATACAACGTTATGATTGATGTATTCATCTGCAATTGGTACACTGATCAAATTGAACGCTATTGATTTGCAACCTTGCACTTAATATATTCCAAGTGAATTGTTAATATTTAAATTTAATTTTAATATTACATCGATTATTTATAAATCGCTAAAGAGTTAATGTAACAAGTAAATGTTTTAAACACTGAATCTATTTGTTCCTGTCACAGAATATGTTGATGTTAGTTATAATTGTAGCGGTTACTCTATCGCTTCGAATTTTAAAATTAACTAAACTAAACTGGGATAAATCTGTAACAGGTAAGTTGTACATAATTACTACTCTTTTTTTTACGTTTTATAAGCTAGCGCTTGACCACGATCCCAACTGGTGAAGTGGAGATTTGGTCGAAAGATGGTACGCGCTAGCTTAGTAAGTGCCTATTCACTCTACTTTTGAAGGTCCCAATATCATATTTGGACGGAAAAACAGAGGCTGGCAACTTGTTCCAATCCTTTGCGGTAGTGCGGTAGTAACTCTTGAAAGTTGGACAAGATCTTACCAATTTCTACCTCAGAGAATAAAAAAGTCTGTTTACTTTTAAACATCACAGATAATATTATTGTTAAAAATATGGCCTTTCAAAAACTTTTTAGTCATGTAGAAATATGAAGAAAATAATATGAATGACTTGTGACACGACAAGCCACAATAGAGCAAAACAACAATGGTACAATTACACTAAGAGCTTTTTATTACCATTTCGTTGAATTAACTTCTCGTAGGTACATAATTTTCTCATAACGACTTTCTTATTGTTATTCAAATTACGAAATATGTATTTGTACACATAGATATAATAATAAAACGAACTTTTTATCTATTAATTAACATAAAATTAACACATATATTTTTAAAATCCTGATAAATATCTTTTCATTCAAATATTTGCTCTAATAATAACGTTTTACTCTCATTAATATTCTCAATTTTCATTGTTTTAGACCTTTCATACGCCATCTTTTGGAGACGAAGAGTTTGACATTCCACTGATGCACGGGCAGCATGCGCCAGGTGGCGCTGCGCACGTCACGCAAATACAATACGCACAAATACACCACTCCGCGCCACAGGTTAGTATTATGACCAATGTAAACCGGACATTAGATTTAGCACTTAGGGAACAATGTCTCTCCGTGCCTACATAAACGATTTGTCCTAATAACATTACCACAGAGGGCGCCATGATTGCAAAAGAAATAGTAGCCGCGGTGGCAAAACTTCTAATAAAGATATTTAGAGGTCAAATCAATACTATCATATTAAATTACTAATCGTGCGTTTCCGAGTCCAAAATACCCGTTTAAAATATATCGTTATCTCTGTTTTTTTTTTTCAATAATAATGCCAGGGATTACGATATGTTTTATTCGGAGATTTCGGTCTCGGAATCCAACGATAAATATAATAAGGTAAACAGAGCTTATCGTACTCGTTTACGATAAAATACTTCCGATAAAAATGTTTTGTAAATACCTTATACGTAATTTATATATCATCGTTTATATTAGAGCTAAATACTTTTTTGAATGTAATAATGAAAAAATAAAAGAGAAATAAATCATGTAGCATAAAACTGTAATTATTTAAAATAAATTACTTTTAATTATTAATTGTATTCGATAACTTAATTAGAAATAGACAAGACTAGATGTTATGAACTTAGTTCCTATCCTTTCATTAAACAGACCAAGTATTATAGAAAGCAGTGAACTTATTTCGAAACACGCATAAAATTAGATTGCGCAGTCGTAAAAGGCATTCTATTTCTTAAAGCTATAACTTCGCTTTTCTCTTTTAATTTTATTGGTAAAATTTTGCCAAAAATATTTACATCTTATTTATTACTTACAATATTTAATATTCTGTAGATTCGTTTTAGATGAGCTATTATAATTTTAGAATGAAACTAGCTAAATAGGGGCACCTATTTAGTAGGAATCAGAGACCAAAGCCGTGACTCGTAAGGTTTACTAAGTTATTAATGTTTGTTATAATTGTATATATTTATTCTGCAGCCATGCCGATACCAATTTTACGAAATGCGTCCTCGATTATCTGGCCTACTTTTTAGATTGCTTTTATTGAAATTGAATCGCCGTTCAATGGCTATCATTGACTATTTTATGTGAATCATTTATATTTGGGATTTGTATATATTGCGGTTTAATATTATTAGATACAAGTATTATCAACATAAAATTATAAGATTCAAACATGCGTACTACAATTCAATGTACGAGTATACGTGTAACTTTCAAAACTATTTATTTGCATTTAAATGATTTCGACTTTAATCCTTATGTTCATTTTGTATAGTATACCATACATACAACTTTATAAAAATATACGATCACTGTAAGATAATTTTTAACTTAGTTTTTTTTTAACTTTGTTTTTTGCTTTCCTTCAAAAAAAAATATTGCCACAATACGGGTTAATTGCATTCTGAATACATTGAAGTCTTAATATTTATTCAAATAATAGTTTTCCATAAATTTTATAAAAGAAAAACATAGCATAAATAAACAAATGAAAGCTTGATCCAACGGTGAAAAATTTACAGGTTTTTCTAAGCATATTGTAGATATTATTGCTTTCTAATTTGACGTATTCATTTGTCGAATATTCTTTTCTAATATTTAAAAGATTAATAATTTAAATAATTTAAAAGATATGTGACATATAATTAATATACTAACGTATCTAAATAAAATAGCTAAAGTTTTTGTACGCCTGTTTACCACCTAAACCGTATCTTATCTACATTACCACGCTTAAAAGATATGACTTCTTTCTCGAAAAATATAACGATGTTTTCTTTGATACGAGGCAGTAAAATATCACGACCGTAAAAACGATGTAATTTCCTAACATTTTCTGAGACATTACGAATGATGAATGTCAACTTACATTAATCTATATAGATGAAAAAGTTTTCGCTATTTATGAGAAGCCAGCCATTTGCTCCAGAGTCGTATCACTGTAGTTCTTAAAATTATACTTATTTATAACCTATAAACTGCGACAAGACGATTTCTTTCTAAATGACTTTTACAGTATGATTTTACTGCCTTTCACATACACAAATACGTACCATTTAAAAAAAAAGTAAAGATAACAATATATTTGTACTGTACATAAAGGTTTCCGGGACCCGCTTGACAAATACCCTTAGAGTACGTATTGCGTAGAGTTTCGTATTATTGTAACTAGATGTATGTGTACCTACCAACACGATGCCGCGTTCACCGCCTGCTGGTGCCTGGTCACTCCGCCAATGTCAATCAAATCACGGTCAAATAGCGTAATAGCGCCCGCTGCCTTCCTGATACACCCGATGCACCGCTTCTCGTAAACAAGCTATAGACGCGTCGTCGTCGACCCGAACGCGGAACCGTAAACTTAGACGATCATGTACGCTAGGAAACCAACACGTCCGATTTGTTACTTTTCCCGTCCAACTTCCGTCGCTTGCTTACTACCCCGCACAAACCCCCGCAGGCCCCGCGCACGACTGTGGCAGTGAGGGATTTTTAACTACCCGTACGCGGCAGATTAAAAATTATGCCGGCTTACCTACATTAAATCGCATATGAAGAGCCGTGAAATTCAAAAATATAGTTCGCCATGGAATATGACGAACCACAGTTCATCTGTACAGAATAATATATGTATTTATACCATGAATAAAACTGGAGTGTCTATATAATATTGTAAAATAAATGTCATATTTCTTATAACGAAAGCTACTTACTCATAACAAAAAACCAATTTTTTATCTGTCGCTTTTTTGTCTGTCATTATACAAAGTCGCGTGCAACAGCTAGTTTTACATAAAAAATGTTTCGAATCAACTTATTTTAAACATGTGTACAGTTAGTAGAGTTTAATGGTTATATTGTGTTTGTGCGCAAGTTAAAGGTAACTAGATTTTTCTACAATAAAAGTGAGATGAAATAAATGTCACTGAAATATTTATTTTTAAGTAGCTGACGACAGTAATTCTTTTCGCGCAGAATTAAAAAAAAACATAATTAGTGGCCTAGCAGTGGTTCTGGAGATACCTTCTGCTAAACATTCACATTTATTATAAATTATAATAGTAGTTATTATTATTTTTAGATATAAAAGTTACCGAAATGTAATTTATGTTGGGGTAACAAGCCATTAAAATTGATATTCACATTTCATTTGTTATCAAAACATCAGTGTTTCTTATTACAAACATTAATGCTTTGGCAACATTCATACATCAACATAATATTGCCATAACCATTTATTCAATATCATCTGTCATATGAATACTGAACAGTGAACTTATGTTCTTTTTCTTTTTTTTGTTTTCTTTTCTTTTTTAAACTTTTTGAGTTTACTTTAAACCAATCCTATGCATCATTTGAAAAATAGTGATTAAAACTACTTAAAATGAAGAAATTGTACTGTCTTAGGTTGGAATGATGAATCCGGCACAAGACGGCTTATCACCACCGGGCGGCGCACCTTCTTATCAACAACCTCTCTACTTGCAAGAACCTCATACACCAGTAACATCACACAGGTTTGTTAAATTAAAAGTAAATCTATTATTCGTCAGTGGCAACTACCGAACCACCTGTACACAAACATTGTTAAACATTGTCAAAAATTATAAAAAACTTTGTTTTAACGTTTAACATTAGATTTAAAACTTTGGAAGATACAAATTTATTTTCATATTGGGCTTTAATGAATTTTTTACTTGTCGTGGACTTTTATTCTTAATCCAATTTAACTAAGAACTTTTTTTAGTGGTGCTGGAGCTCCAGCTGGAAATTATATAATCCAACAACAACCTGGTGGGCAGCAGCGGCTGCTGATGATGCAACCATCTCAAGTAATGAGCGGTCCACCAACTCCTAGTACTCCAACTCAACCTGGACCAGTGTATGGATCACCCCAGCAAGCTTCACCACCTGGAACCACCAGTGATGATTCTGATGACAGTGTACCATCCCAACATTCTCAGGTAAATAAACAAATCTTATATAATCATTGTATATGCTTTGTAGACATCAGTATCATTTTAATTATGGCAAGAACATAATAAATATGATATGGACTAAATTGTAGCACCTTTTTCTTTTATTACATAACTTAATATTTACTGGACCTACACAGAGGCAACATACCTTGATTTTCCCCATATTCTTCTTTGATTTTATATTGAAATCCATCTATTTGATTTGCCTAAAAAAATTAAGTTTTTTGGTGCTGGTTATCATATCTACCCAATATAAACAATTATAGGAGCATACATAATCTTTTTGTTAAAAAATTATCATTTATTTAAATATGTTCATTTCTCTCTCAGCCCATTTTTATTTATTGTGAAAATCACATAAATTTATCTCATCAATGATTTAACTCTTTTTATTTGTTTTCACATAGTTCATTGGCATACAATCTTTTTTGTTTATAACATTAAAACCTGTCAGTTGTAGAAAATTCTAATCAATTGGTTGTTTGTTGGTAGTTGCCTGGTGATGCGGAAAGTCTTCTGCCTATCCATTATTGCTCAGCGAGCCGGCAGCAACAAACTACGCTTCATCAGGTATAGGCAAATTTTATCGCTTTAATATAGTATCTATTAGTCTATAATCTTTAGTAGTTTTAGATTTGTATTGCCAATGAACTATAAATATTATTCCTTCATACTAATTTATTATTGTTTTCATTTTAAACAGATAGGAGTGAGTAACGTAGGTGTTAAAAGGTCATCCCCTGAACCAATGGACAATGGTATTAATCGTGGACAAATGCAAAAGAAACCTAAAGTTCAAAAAAAGAAAAAGAAACGGGATCCTAATGAACCTCAAAAGTAAGTTGTAAAGATATTATAATTAATTTTATTACATAATTATTATAACATGTTTTAAGAATACTATAGAGATTTTTATCTTTTCAGACCTGTCTCTGCGTATGCCTTATTTTTTCGTGATACCCAAGCTGCAATCAAAGGTCAAAACCCTAATGCGAGTTTTGGAGAAGTGTCCAAAATTGTTGCATCAATGTGGGATGGCCTTGATTCTGAACATAAAAGTGTAAGTTAAAGAAAAAGAACTTAAAATATGAGTTGTTTTTATTTATTATACATGTTTTAAAATGTTCTATTCAAACAGGTTTACAAACAGAAAACTGAAGTAGCCAAGAAAGAATATCTCAAGGCCTTAGCTGCATATAGAGCTAGTCTTGTTTCTAAGGTAAATTTTCATTACTTATTAATAAAATTATAACTAGTCATTTAAAGTCATGCTTCGATGAAATCAAGAGGTGGATAACTGGAAAAGTAAGTATGGAACTGTAAACATAATAAAATAAAAAAGAGGATCAAAGAAAGGTAGATGTTATTGCTGCTCATAAATATAACACCTGCAAAAGATATTTGTAATCTTAAATTCAATCATCAATCAATCATTTCGCTAGTTTTCTAATATAAAAATATACTACATAAATGTTGTTAAATTGAGGGGAGCTGGAACCTTAGCAACCTCAGGAAGTAAAACAATACTAAGGTGGATATAAAATGGATTTGTAAAATGTCTGAATTTTAAGTTAAAAACCTATATATTATGTAAGTGTTGAACAACTGGTAAGGCTGTGAAGCATCCACTACAAAACATGAACCTAAAAAATTTGTGATAAATTTTATTTATTAAAAGAAACGTTTATATCACCCCCATTATCTTATACAGCAAAGAAAAACTCCACTCTTTTACTATCCTTATTCTTTTATTATTCCAAGAGTGTCAGAAATACGAAGGATGCGGTTGTCTTCTCAGAACTCTTCTCAAACACTTTTCTTCGAAAATAAGTATATTATTAATAAGAGGGAAGGTTGGTTTCTGAGTTCAAAATTCCTGTTTAAATAATATTCTTATCTCTGTTTTGTCAAAGATAATGAAAGGGTTGACGATATGCAAAAATAATATGTTAAAACCTTTATCCACTTATAGCATTAATAGGACGCGTTTTGGCCTCGTAGTGGAAAAGGTGTGTTCCCCTCTAATTCCACAGATATAGTTTGCTTATCACCGGTATTAAAATACAGCACACCAAAGGCTAATTACAAAGGAATACAAACTCATTATTAAAGTTCACGAAAAAAACGTTAGCATCGGAAATTGTGTCTGCTATTCTTTATTTTATCTGCTGCCTTAATATATATTTCCTAGGGTTTGCCTCTTCAAATCAAATTTTTCGTAGTCCCTGTTACATTTATCAATTCCGCGGAAATAAGAAATATTCATAATATAACCGATTGATATTGAATGTTCTTAGTTGATAAATATAGCAAAAAATTAACTTTTTATATTTTTAACAAAGAACATTGTACAACGAACAATATTGATTCCGAACGCAACCACACCTTACGTTGAATTTATGTTGGCAACACTCAAACGCTTTGCCGATGCCAATCTCCGAGCCTCGCCGAATTCAATCGAAATAAATAGACTTATTGAGATATCGTGTTTCTTGGTGCGTTATTATTTACGATTTAACTTAATTTTAAAAAGGTTTATTTTAATTGTAAATTAAAAATAAATCTCTTACTATAAATTATTGAACAAAAGTGAGTGGTGTCTTTGTTCTTTGTCTTGTGCAATCCGGTAAAAGGTTTGAGATTTCGTTCTTTCTTCATTTTATTTTAGTTTAAAAATATATATTGGCTTGTTTTTAAATATCTTTAAATACGTAATGTAAAAAATATCCTTAATTATACATAACCTTACTTATGATTTTTTCCCGTATGTTAAAATACGCATTTGAAGTTTTTTTAAGTTTTATAAAATATCTAACAAAAAATAAAAAGGGCTCAAAGCTCAGTGTATTAAACAACATATTATTTACTTTGCGCAAAATGCATATTGTATTCAATCAGTAGTTCTTTTTCTTTTTTTATTAGACCAAAAATAAATCTTTGTGTAATCAAACAATTTGTCTAGTCTCGTATGTTTAAAGTTACAAACCATCGTATTCTTTATAACAGATAATTATTTTTTTCCGTATTCTTTCCTTTCTACCCAGGGTGAGAATTTATCTCAACCTATCATGTGCATTTATCAAGTTCAAGTTGGAATGAAGCTAAAGCTGTAATTCCAAGCAATGACCTATCCATTTATTGAGATCAGTGGACAGTATCTTTACTGCAAATAAATTGCGGGCTATAAATAGCAGAACAATCAATGTTGTACATATTATTTATCTATACTCACTATATACCCAAGTAGCAGTAACGGAGAGACAACAAGAAAACAATGTCGTAGAATTGAATTGAAACAATAAGTATCTATTAATATATAGGATTTTTACTTCAAGTTCAGACAAATATATGTCCATTTGATTAGATTTTATGATTTTATAATCAAGTACATGATCAAACTTTTTTTCTAGGGAGGAGAACAAGAAAACCCAGTTATGTATAATCATTCCAATTCAAACCCTCCTTATGGTAACTACTACCAAGGACAAAGCTATAATGGTCATTCTCCACAAGGCTATGTCGCAAATTCTACGCCGCAGACATTTTCTTCACAAAACTATACAGGAGGACAAGCTCAAAATGCATACCAGGGACAAACTGGACCTGGTTACCCTCCCAATGCTCCACAAACTCCACAAAATTACCAGGGAAATATGGGACATCCCCCGCAAGCATACCAAGTAAGAAAATCCTACATTATTCAAACACTACTGCAGAGACTTAAGCTATAAAATATTCAATTCTATTCTTTTTATAAAAAAAAATGCCATCAGATTTTAATACATTTAATGCTATTAGATTCTTACTTTACACAGTTTATTTATTTCTAAATTACTTAAAGATTTGAAACAACTTTAATGAATAGAAGTTAAAGAAAACATTACCTTGACAGGGGGTTCCAGGACAAAGTCCTCAGGGTTACCAGGTAAACCCAGCGGCGTCACCTCAAACTTGCCAATCGACAATTGCTCAGTCGCCGAGGAGTTATCAACCGGCACCCTCACCCAATAATTTCCAATCACCGCCCGGTGTCTCCCCGCCGGGGTACAGACAGATACAGACACAGTCCCCACCCATGGGCCCTGCACACACAGCTATGCAGTACCACCACACACAACAGGTAACTTTAAAATAATTGTTTCCATTGAAATATAAGAAGAAAAAATTAAACAAAATATCAATAGACATATAAGAATCTCAACTAATCTAGTTAATTTTTTCTAGATGCAGCAAGTTCATCAAGTGCAACAATATCAGCAACAACAATTACATCAACATCAGCAGCAGCAACATCAGCAGCAGCAACACCAACAGCAACAACAACAACAACAGCACCAACAGCAACAACAACAGCACCAGCAGCAGCAGCAACAACACCAGCAGCAACACCAACAGCACCAGCAGCAACAGCAACAACACCAGCAGCAACACCAACAACAACAGCAACAACATCAGCAGCAACAACAGCATCAGACACATCAGCCTCCACAACAGCAAATCACTAAAGTAAAAAATGAACCACTATCGCCAAACAACAATGGCAATCCTGGTGGCATGCCCCAACAATCTCCCGAGGTAATTATCACACAAAATAATCATTTTATTCTAATGTAATTCACAATGCCTAAAATTTAAATAGTTAAAATATGTTAACAAAATTCATTGTGCCAACTAAAATTTTCATTTTTTATTAAAGTTAAGTCACATTTACATGTAAATTTTTTTTTGTTGAAACTATAAAATATACTGTTTTATAATAATTAAAAATAAATATATGTCAAAGTTTGTAATAAGCAGATATTACAAGATAACTTGTTTCATTATTGTTAAGTATTGTTTCAGCAAAGTGAAAGCAGAGGCATACCGTCATGCATCCGACAGGGATGTACCAACCCCGCAATTGCTAACAGTGAATGGGAGGATGAGTATTGCTCCAATGAATGTGTCGTCAGCCACTGCAGGTTGGTACTACCTATTTCATTCAACCTTTAAAACTTAGAGTTTTGCAAAAGTATTTTTCAATCAAATTCCTAAAATAACAATCAGAGGAATAATATGGATAACCAATGAAATAGTGCTTTGGATGGATGAGTGTTTGTTTGAAGGTACCTCCAGAACGGCTGCATGATGGATCTTGCTGAAATTTGCCATAGATATAGACCATAGTCTGGAAGAACACAATCTACTTATTAACTTTTTTTCATACTCCGCGGACTACATCTAGTTTTGGCATAAAGTGTACAGACAGTCTATGGTGAAAATATTTGTTGACGCTCGCGATTTCGTTAGCGCGAAGTTAAAAAAAAAATTGTCAAAATTACTTACTTACCTTACACATAAGCTTTCGGTCCAAAATCGATCCAAATAAATAAATTTGTTTCCAGAGATGTATTCAGCTCATGGGTGGCATCCAACACAAACAACCAAATCCAAAACTTTTCTGCAGTGAAATAAATCTCTACATATCTGGTATCATGTAACAATAGTTGTCCCGACACTATCATTAGAATATTTTATTTAATCGTTAAAAATATTTATTAATTCAATGTTACAACACTTGTTTTGATATTTGTTCACGGTTATTGTCAAATTTAATTGTATAAAGTATTCATTTTAAATTTTTTTTATTGTTTTAAGATAGAAAGTGATATTACTTCTTCGTAATTGTAGTGAACTTATGAATTTGATATAAAATAATCATTGTATTGTAAACATTGTAACTCGTAAGTAAATGTAATATTCCATAAAGAATAATTGTAAAAAAATATAGAAGATAAAACGTATTCTTAAATGTAAGGCCATAATGAGAATTAATTCTCCGATACTTGTGTAATGAAATGCATCTCTGGCAGGAATGCCACATTTAGATAAATAATATTACATTTCTCTCAAGAATCAATTATTTCTAGTATGTACTTTTATTTAAATAATTTTAGTTTAAAGTTATGTAATTTTTTCTTTGTACAAGCTTATTATGTTCCTTTATTTTTCTATAATGCCGTACGTTTTTAATGTCGTTATTGAAAAGAAAACAATAATGTCGTTTTACCACATTATGTTTGATTATTATTGCTACCACTTTGGTATAAAAACAACATTTATACTCTTATGAATATTTGTGAAACTAAACGGTTATTAACATCAAATGAATTTCTAACTCATTAGTCTCACTCTGTAATAAAAAAAAAACATAAATACTGAAAAACAACCAAACTCAAAGTAAATGATAGGATTATAATCAAGCCATGTTCTAGCAATCTCAAATTTCAAGTACTAACATTTTATTTTAATTAGTACTTTCAACTAAAATCTCGTCTTCTAGAAAAGATTGACGGTAGTTAGTGTGACTTAGTATTTCGCCTTAATTATTACCAAATAAAGGTATAAACTGATCATTTATAAGCTAGACCAACATTAAAGTGTTGAAAATTCTATCGTAAATAATTGACATAAGAATGGAAAGTAGTAAAATTGTAGACATTATCTCCAGAAACCTTTGTCATTTATATAATTGCATATTAGTAATTATTAAGGATTTCACTATGTTATTGAAATTAATAAGAGTGTACTCAAAATGTTTTCATAATTTTAATAAAGTGCATTTAGTTAAATTGGTTGTCTTGAGTGAGATTAGTAAATGAGGACACTGGAACCACTTTATGTTTTCAAACAATATTATATTTTATAACAGAAACATGTTTGTCATTTGTTAAAATTTAAATTTGGAATAAAATGTTCGTAAATTTATAATTGCACAATATTTCTATGCAAAAGAATAAAATTTACAATAATGAAAATGTAAAGCAATAGCAATGAAGCAAAATGTGTCTTTGTGTATATACAGACTAAGAAATATTTATAAATATGCATTTAAATTTTTTACAGTAGAATGTGATATGTATCAATTTGAATTGATGTTGTTGATATATTTTAATATCTCGATTTGCATGAATAAAATAAGCATGTTTTCTCCTATATTTAGAAGAAACCTATAATGTACATTGTAAAAGTTCATGTCTACTCATTCCTAGGAATCGTGCTTAGCATAGGATTTAGCTGGACCAAAATTTCCTTTATATTCAATGCGATGATAGTATATTAAGATACATAAAAATCTCCTTTTAACGTATTTTCATTGAATTTTTACGACTGTATATAAATATCTGCAATAATAGTTATAGCAGTAGTTAGGACCGTCGTAAGTCTTTTTGAATTAATTTGTAATTTATTTAGTAGTCACCCTAGATTACTATTTAAGAGCAAATTCTCTTTATTGAATGTAAAATAATAATGTATAAAATGTAATTAGAATGATTTCATTAAATTTCCTAATCATTACCTTTGTTTCATTACTACCTATAACCCTTATATGAGCATGCTTAGTTTTAGCATATTATTTGGAAATTGTTAAGTGATATTTCTAACTACGACAAACCTTCCTGAAACCGTGATAAGCATGAATACAAATTAATAGAAGTAAAAAAGTAATTTTTTTTCATACGTCAATCCGCAACCTTAGAGGAATTACGGGCAGGATTACCATTTTTTGGAGAGCATAGGGAGGGTTGGAAATAATATTCAGTTGAAGCAATGAATTAGGTAACACGCGTCAATTAAATGCAGAAAACTTTTAATAAGCTAAAACTATGCCAGGACAAATCAGCGCTGGCATAATGCCTGGCTTACATTAAGCCAGTAAGACGATAAGTCTGTTGCGCCCAAAAGCAGCACTGACATAAACACTAAATAGCGCCAAGGAAACCATGTAAGGCCAGCTCTACTTCACTGGCGTAAAGTAAACCAGGCAGTAATGGCAAAAAAATCCTGGCTTAAAAGCAAGAGGGCCTTAGCCACGTTACACGTAATTACAAATAAAGTATCTTTTTGTCTATGGTTTTCGTGACAGCTGCCGTCGCCGTCATCGTATTGGTATAATATGTCGAAGGCTAATTATCGGATAAATCAAATTTTATTTCAAACTTTATTGTAAATAGATTATAAAGTAATTCCCTCGCTTTTAATAAATGTGTTAAAAGTGGTAATCCTGTATACCAAAAAGGAAGGGGTGCCTCACAAAATTGTCAATAATGATGGACGGAAATGATTTAGCTTCAGAAACAACCAGAAGAGGAATTATTTCTCAAGCATGGACGCGTATTTCTCAGGTAATTTAATTTGTGAAGATTATGTTCCATACTAATGACTGCTTTTTAATTTTATACTTATAACCTATTCCTATTATTTCTAAAACTTTTGATTACTATCACTATAACATGAATATAACGACTTCGTGCAGTTTACTTCTCCCTAATTGTATTTAAATGTTAATTGGAACTGTCAGCTATAAGTAAATATATAAATCCTTGAAATATTAATGTTATAATGCCACCTTATTCAAAATGAAATAGCGATTTAGCAAGTATGTGAATATTCACATTAAAACACAATTCACATCTTACTAGTATTATGAATGCGAATGTTTGGATTGAAGGATGGATGTTTGTTTAAAGGTATCTCTAGAATGGAAACGGATCTCACTGAAATTTGGCATAGATATAGAACAGTCCAGAAGAACACATTAGCTTCTGATTAAGTGTTTATTTGATTGCGCGCGATGAAGTCGCGTTTGACAGCTAATTCAAAATAAAAAAAACATAGCTAATAATCTTTGGGACATTGCTAATGACAGTGTTGTTCATATAACTTTCACACTAACATATTTCCTACTTCATTTCTTATACTAATCGAAAATATTTTAAATGTTGATCATCATACAATATTTCTGTATGTTTTAATTCTAGATCTATCAAGGAACTCTGGACAAGTGGACACCTCACACCAAAGGAAGATGGTTTGGATGTATACTTCTTCTAATTGCCTTTGTTATACGAGTAGTCACAAAACAAGTAAGAAAAAGCAAATTATTTTCAAGAGATTAAATTACATTTATGTACATCACTAAATACCTCATTTATGAAGAATACATACTTATGCTAAGCATATCTAAAAATGCAAAATCAAATTCCTTTTTAAGTTATTTGTGTTTTAATGACGTTAAGTAATATGGTAAAATAATTTAGCATTTGAATTGCAACAGGTTGTATAAATTAACTAATAATGTAGTGTTGATAAATTTTAAGCTCAATTTATTATTATTGAATAGAAATAACAGCTGCATAATAAGATATTTGTAATTTTTTTTTCAGGGGTGGTACATTGTGACATATGCCCTAGGAATTTACCACTTAAATTTATTTATTGCATTCCTTACACCTAAAATAGATCCTGCCATGGATTTTGATGGTAAGCTGTTTTATAGTATGCAAGCTTTTTATACCAATACAATTTTTAATAGACTAGTTTTAATTTCTTCTTCATTTTTTAATATTTCTTACTATGTGATAGACACTAAGATCTTTCTGAATTAAAAAAAGTTTAACCTGCCTGCCTGCCTGCCTGTCGCCAACGTAGTTGTTGGAATATTTAATTATTTTATTATATGTTAACATTACTTCTTTTTAGACTAATCTGCATATATTGTATCAATAATTAGAGATATTAATATTAGAAGATTTACTATAATACTTCTTAATAAAATGTAATTAAATAATTTCAGCCGATGATGATAATGGGCCTGCCCTCCCAACACGTGCTACGGAAGAATTCAGACCATTCATACGGAGACTACCAGAATTTAAGTTTTGGCTCTCCGTCACCAAGAGCACAATTATTGGCTTCATCTGTACATTTATTGATGCCCTCAATATACCAGTATTCTGGCCTATACTAGTTATGTATTTTATAACCCTATTTTGTATTACTATGAAGAGACAAATTAAGGTAAGATATTTTTTATTGTATTAAAATTAAATAAGCTATTACAGTATCTTGTCACAAGTAAGCTTTTCAAGTGTGTTAGGTGATGATCAATTCTGTTTAATTCGTTGAGAAAAATCATTTATTCTGTCTAATTAAGTAATGATGAAATATTTTACTGTTTGTTTTCACATTTTATTAGCTAATATTTATAAATATGTAGTCCTATATCTTTAAGTTACAATTTTTATCAAAAGACTGTGGTTTTTTTTTCAAGCAAATAGGCAACATAAAACATTTGTTTTAACAAACTTAAAATGTAATTACGTACAGAAATAATGGAACTTCCCTTTTGTGTATGTCTAAACAAGTCATTTGTGGTGATCTAATTACCTATATAGAATTTCTAGTTTTTTAGTAATTAATTTTAGTAAGTTAGTAATGGTTATATCTATTGAATTATTATTGCAAATTTTATTTATATATATACATATTTTCATTTAGAATAACTAAGGCACAAAGATAATATTGTTATCATTTTAAATTTCCGTCACAATGACAATAGATAAATATTAAAGTGTTATTAACCATGACGAAAAAGTCGTGTCACTCAGTACAAAGCTGATAAAATGGTTGATAAACACATATATAATTTAATAGTAGTAGTAATAGTTGATTTATTAAATCAAAAATACGATAAAATTCCTGGCAACATTATCATCACAACCTTCTTATCTATGACCCTTCAATGACAAATCACATTTCAAAATTGTAACTTTTTATAAGTGACCATATTAGTTTCTTTATGATTCAATAGCTATAACTATAAGCTATTATGACCTTAGTATGAACGAAATTTTAAAGTTATTACTTGTTAATAAAGTAAAACGATAATTCTATATGTATAGTAGCCGTCGTAGGCGGTTTTTTGTAATTTAAGACACCGCGAATTAATGTATAATAATTTTAAGCAAACTTGCTGTCGCCCGCGAAGTCGCGGCCTCCTAGTAAAAAAGTTCTTAAGTAGTCTTATGTGTTCTTCCAGACTATTTTCTACATCTATATAAAATTTCAGTGAGATCCTTTTAGATGTTCTGGAGATACCTTATAGCAAACAACTAAACATTTTCATTAGTAAGATAGTGAGATTTAAAAAGATGTAAATTTAACGTATGTTTTTTTTTAATTTTCCAGCACATGATCAAGTACAGATACCTACCATTCACCCACAGCAAACCAAAGTACAAAACTGTCGAGTCGACGGTGACAGTTAACTGACGTCTGCACTCGTCTGTCTCGTAAATAATTGTAAGCAGCGCCGAGAGTCAAAGTAACTTAAAACTGTTGTATGCAAATGTTTCTAGAAAATACACTTTTATTGTAATGTTTATCATTTTTTATTTTATTTTCGTTAAAAAAATACAATTAACTAAATTAGTTAGCAAATTAGGTTAATTAAAGGCCTAGTACCTGATATAATTCAAAATTCGATGTGCTTGTCAAGTTATATAACGTGACCATCTAGAAATGTATATAAATATACATTTGTTTCGTAATTAATAAATATTTTGTTATTTACTCTGAAAACAATTCGAAATAATTATGAAGTGTACATTTTTTTTTAATTTTAATAGTGAAGGATTTATACTTAATTCATCTTTACTTCGAAAAACAGAGTTCACATGTTTTCGATACAGTTTACCAACAGAAACATAAAGTAAACCTGCAAGCTGACATCAATTTTGTTTTTTTTTCTTTCCATAGCCTAATACATAAGTCCGAACCATTAACAATGCTAATAAATATATTCTTTAGTCTGTAGCAAAAGCAAATTCGCCATAAGAATCTAAAAAAGTTAAACAATTAATTAATATAATTTCTATAAATATCAAAGTCACAATCACATTCCATTGTCCTGTTCAATCATGGATGTAAGCTTGGATCTCAAAAGCCCGGATATGCGCATGTAACTTTCCGTTGTGTGTGCACTTAAGTCCGAGACTCTTTTCAGTTTTTCAAATGCATTATTAAATTTGTCTAAAATAGAGGAAGAAGTACATATATCATTAGTACTTTTTAGTATCTTGCTTTTATTTATTTTTAGAAGATAAATGGTGTCGTAAAAATACTTAGCCATAAGATAAAATAAATTAAATACAATTTGTGCGAAGCGTGTGATTGTTATTTTTTTAATTAATAAAATTATTTTATGCCAATCCAACTTTCTTTGATATTTCATCATAAATTAACCATATAAAATGTCTTCTAATATTTTAAGTAAAAATAAATTATTCCCCCATGTAATGTGGACGAATTAAAGTAATAAACATAAGCCTACTTCTTTATTCAAAGCGAAACACATTACTGCTCGGCCCACAAATAGCCTTCGACCAATGAAATAGTATTTATGAAGCATGTGACTATTCATTTCAATTAAAACAGAAGTCATTGGCTTTAAAAATATACCAACGCAACGTACGATAAACCAAAGTAAACTCGCGCGATATGAATCGAATAGTAACAGTTTTTAAATATACATTTATAAACATACCTAGCACAATGCAATTATTACCCTACAGCTAAAAATAGTAGCTAGAGATAAAAATATCCATCGTTTGGATAACGCACGACGACGGTGTAACGTTAAATACTACTAGCTATTAAAGATTGTATGATTTTACACAGAAAACTAAATTACCATTAGCAAAAGACAAACTTAAGTTTAATTAATATTTATGAATATCCTCTTTTTTAAAAGAAGCTGTGATGTTAATTTGCCTGTTACAATTTTAGTAAATAAGTATTAAATTAATGCAACAACATCGGGCATCATAAAAGCTGACTGTGCCAATGTACCCTTCCCTGCCTGTCGCCTACCCTTACGTTTAAAGACTGCCTACTTCAATACATGTACTTATTATATGGCATCACCACTTAGACAAAATATGTCTATGATGGTAACACTGGAAGATACTGTTTTCGAGTTCCATGGAATCTTGAATGGATTTTGGGAATAAAATTATATATATCAAAATAATAGTCATGATATCGCTGAAGGGAGTCCATCGTGTAATTTCTGAAAGAATTAGTTTTGTAGCAAATTACCCGTGGTTTATAATTAGCAAATTATAAACCACGACCACCCCAAATCATATTTAACATAGGCACCTATAATAAAATTTTATTAAATTAATTACTTTATTACCTTTCAGTATTTATTCATGAAACAAAATGCAAAACCTGCAATAATCATAGAAGCTATGGTAATAAGTTTCAAAATAAACTGGCAAGGCTACACGATATCGCCAGTGTTACTATTTAAATGGAACGTTCAAAAGTAATAAAACGCGCTCGATATCCCTGTTTATTTTATTGACCACTCGCCAGATGTTTGCGCATTGTTTTCCAGTGCGCAGTAGTTTCTCTGTCGTGAAATCGGGATACTGTTTTAGTAATATATCTATTCTGCCATTTTGAAAATAGTGGCGTGTATGGATTAGACCTAGTGTTTTTTATGTGACAAATATGTCCGGGAGCAATGATAAAGCGTCGACTACGCAGCGTATGATCCAAAGTGTCGCTTTCCCTCCTAGCCACAAGCTCACTGTATCGGAAGTATTTGATGAAAAAACTGGAAAGCCCTTACCAGATGTCCTCAAGCAGCATTTTATCTTAGAGGGTAGAATCGAGGAAAATGCAGCTTTACGCATCATTCAAGATGGTGCCACCTTATTACGATCAGAAAAAACTATGATCGAGATCGATTCACCGGTGACCGTGTGCGGAGACGTCCATGGCCAGTTCTATGATTTGATGAAACTGTTCGAGGTGGGAGGCTCTCCCTCGTGCACCAAGTATTTATTCTTAGGTGATTATGTCGACCGAGGTTATTTTAGTATAGAATGTGTTCTTTACCTTTGGGCGTTGAAGTTATGTTATCCGAAGACATTATTTCTATTACGCGGTAATCACGAATGTCGGCACTTGACAGAATACTTCACTTTTAAGCAGGAATGCAAGATAAAGTATTCTGAGAAAGTGTATGATGCCTGTATGGAAGCATTCGACTGCTTACCCCTGGCTGCCCTCATGAACCAGCAGTTCTTATGTGTACATGGTGGTCTTTCTCCTGAGATAAACAGCTTAGATGACATTCGTAAACTAGATAGATTCAAAGAACCTCCTGCATTTGGAGCCATGTGTGACCTACTTTGGTCTGATCCCCTGGAGGACTTCGGCAATGAAAATAATGCTGAGCATTTCTCGCACAACTCTGTAAGAGGTTGTTCTTATTTCTACAGTTATGCAGCTTGCTGCGATTTTCTACAAAGAAACAATTTGCTGTCTATCATACGGGCTCATGAAGCACAAGATGCAGGCTATAGGATGTACCGTAAGAGCCAAACCACTGGTTTCCCAAGTCTGATTACCATATTCTCCGCTCCCAACTACTTGGATGTTTACAACAATAAAGCCGCCGTGTTGAAGTATGAGGACAATGTGATGAACATTAGACAGTTCAATTGCTCACCCCACCCCTATTGGCTTCCCAACTTCATGGATGTGTTCACTTGGTCTCTCCCATTTGTGGGTGAGAAGGTGACAGAAATGCTGGTCAATGTGTTAAATATCTGTTCTGATGATGAACTAATGTCTGAAGGTGATGATGCATTGGAGGAAGCTAATCTCAGAAAAGAAGTTATACGCAACAAGATCCGTGCTATAGGTAAAATGGCTCATGTGTTCTCTGTTCTCCGTGAGGAAAGTGAATCTGTTCTGCAGCTGAAGGGTTTGACTCCAACCGGTGCCCTTCCATTGGGTGCTCTGTCTGGTGGTAAAACATCTCTCAAAAACGCCCTGCAGGGCTTCTCTCCAAACCACAAGATAACCTCATTTGCCGAAGCCAAGGGGTTGGATGCCATCAATGAGCGTATGCCGCCCCGGCGTGACGGCCAGCGCACTCCCGACACCCAGGACAAGAAGGCGCATGTGAACAGCAATGCACATTCGTGAAGTGCTAGCTCCATTTTCTCTTCAATCCTTACTTTTTGATCCACTATTCTAGTGATGGTGAAATATGTGTGAAGGTGACTCAGCTTTTGGAAAAATATTTCACATTAATATTTAGGTGGATTTGAAGGGAATTGTCATAATAGATACTAAATATTTAAAAAATTTGGATTTAACTTTTTTTCAATAGTTGAAATTAAAATTTCTCTTAAGATATTACCTCTCGATATTTAAAATATGTCAGATCTGCAGGCAACAAATTTTTTTAGTCAATTAAATAATAAGATATGCACATTTATTTATAATGCGCTGCACTCTTTCATTTTGGTGATGTAATTTTAAAGTTTTCATATGAAAAGACATGATATTGTAATGTAAATTTATTCAGATTATCTACTTATACTCTACATTGTTATCTACATTAGTGAAAATTAGACATGTCTTTAATTTTCAAAGCATAATTAGCTGTGATATTAAGCAATGATCAATGTGTAATTAATAGCGATCTGCTGGTGGTGCGGCGTGTTCATTGGCTAATCATGCATTGAAATATGTAAAGTGAGCGGAGGAGTTGTCAGCTTGGGCGTGTCTTTATATTCTATTAAGTAAAGTTAATTCTGTACTATAGTGTGCGGCACACGGTGTGTGGTTGCCATGCGTGTGTGCTGTGTAAATATGCCTTGTGCGTACACACACGTTATTGCAGCTTTAACACTCCACATAAATATTACTCTCTTTAATATCTTTGCTACAAGTTGTACTTAATTGTATTTTATTGTACAAAATATATTAAAATTATTACCTATGAACTATTACTATACTTAAAGTTAATTTATATTTGGGTGTCTGGCTCGGGGCGGCTGGGAGGCTCAACTTGTATGCCGGAACATCACATATAAATCATTTAGTCCTAATGTTTCCGTATATAAGGTGTAGCGGCTAGTCTAATTGCAGATTTTCTTACAGCTTTATTCCAAATTCACTTATATAATTATATTATAAGGTTTAATGACCTATGCACTGTTGGAAAATCTCTTTTGGTCTGCCAAAAAAATATTTATTAATCAATGCAATATGTTTGTATTGTGGATACTAAAAGTGGCTTACAAAGTTTTTAAAGTCAGTACTAAATATTTTATCTCAATTCAGTGTGTACTCCTTCATATGTTCTCTACTTTTAAAATAAATTTTATCTATGTAAAAACTAACCATACATTTAATTTCATTTTGTACTAATCAAGGGAAGTGGTGTTTATCCTTATAAAATATATTAACATTGAGCTCCATATATTATAGTTTTAATAAGACCTCATCCTAGCTATTGCTATGTGATTAGTTCTTGTTTTGGAGCTAAGCAAAAATTAAGTAAAGTAGAATATTTCACATAAATTACCTATATATACGAATATAATGAATTGTCTTAAATTATTGCATAATACTAGTCAAAATTTTATGTTTTGTTAAACAAAAACATTATTCAAGAAATATGTATGAATATGACAGCAATATTTTTTGTTTGAGCCAGCAATTTGGAATTAATATGCGATTTGCTTGCATGATGGCGCGGCGTCGCCACGGCGGCGACGGCCGGCGGGCGGCGGCGATTGTCGCGCTCTCGGTTCTCGTCCCCGCCCTAACCTAATCTTTTACTGGCAAAAATTATGTACATTTACTTACAACCCACTAGTCAAAATAGGCTTAATATTTTCAAAAGTTATAGACTATCTTCATATTACTTAATTTTATGATTAATAAATATTCATATACTTAAATTAAAAAATTATGTTTTATCTTTAAAACTCCTACATCATACAATGGCATTGTTTTACGTACAGTATGAAAGTTGGATGAAAAAAAAAAACGTACAGAAATAATAATTTACAGTTTAAACAAATAAGGCAATCTGACAGAACTATAAAATTAAAAATAACAACTGTTTGCGTTCATATTTTTATGTTGTTGCCGTGTTTTCACAAATGAATCCGCACGCATATTTACGTAGCCGATGAAATATACTCCATTAAAAGCATGCGTTCAAGAAAATAAACTGAGTCTAGCTGAGAACAAAACAATTTCGGTTTCGTTGCGATAGTCAGTTTAAATATTTATTTTTAGCGCAGCCACAATTCGGCGACAGCCAACCGCGACAAGCATTACACAAATTCGTGGGTCGCGGTCGTGTCGCGGGGATCCCGTATCGAATTAACTCATTAACTCTCTCATCTCTTATTCAATTACTATGGATTGCGTGGCTTATTATCATTATTTACTACAATTACAATAGTTTCCGTGTTAAACGTGCATTTGCAGTGAATTGCATACACGTAAATCATGAGACAATTAAATCACATCTCATTGCGAGGAAACGTGTTTAATATTAGTCGGACGTTGTAATTAGCGCTAGCCGTTAGCCACTAGGTCTGCATCCTTCGCGTATGAAAGACAAAGCACGATTATTTCTGTACAATGAATATACTTGTAGGTGCCAGGGAGCGAAGTAATAATGTGTTTGCTCGGCGCGCCGCCGCCGCGTTTAAACCCGATAATCGCTGTAAATAATTGGTCCGCCCGTCAACACACTCATTACTATCGAATACATTTTATTTATATACATTAACGATAACACTTTGTTTATTAATATTGCTAATAATCATGGTATAATTACTAAAAAATTAAGAATGGTAACTTGATATGTTGCTGTTTTACATGTTATATTTAACTACTTCTAACTAGCTTCTGTATCACCACACGTATTATTCGTTGTCGACTCCTAGGGTTCACAGCATGACGTTAAATAGCTCATAACCTTTGGTATTGGACCGTCGAATGCGAAAAGATTAATTTAAATCCGATTAGTAAATTAGAGAATAGCACGTTCAAACTCTGCGTTTCATAATATTACTAAAAACCGGATAGGAATAATACTAAAACATATAAGTTAATTTTCCTATTGGAATTCGAACCCTATCAACAAAGTGGATGTCAATTTCTTGCGAAATTGTAAGGAGAGTGTGGATGTACAGTTGATTTTTCTAAAAGGACTGATTTAACAAGATGTATTACACTAGTCTGCGTTTCAAGGCAACCAACGCGAACTTAAGTTTTTTTAGGAATTATACTATGATGCTAAGAATCTATCAGCAAACTGTGGTTTTCTCGTGTAAGTATGTGGTAAAGATCTTTAATTACAAGCCTTATCAAAAAAGATGTAATGACCTCTACACTGCATACATAAGAAAGAAGTAAGAAAAATAAGTACTTACAGCAAAAAGTTATATTTTTTTAAATAAAAGTGTGAACCTAAATAATATACTTCAAATTCAGTTCAGTTCTTAACGATGAATTCGTTCCAATAAACGTTGAATTGCACTTTGATGCAGTAAAATATTTTAATCCTGCTAAAAAAAATATGTACGTAATAATAACTTATTCCATAGCAATAGCACTGTATTTTTCAAAGTAGGTCATAACGCTACAGAGGCTCGAGGCTTGGGGGCAGCAGAACTCCGTGAAAATTAAACAGAATTAAGGCAATCTACTGAGACGACAGCAGACAATTTTATCTATAAAATCAGACTCTCGCTTGTAGAACTGAATTACATCCCTAATATAATATACCTTAATTACTTATACAAATTTTTATCCTTTTTCTAAATTATTATGTTTATATCTATGAAGCTATTATTAGTTTCAAACCCAAAAGTTTGGAGAAAACAGAGAAATATGGTCACAGAATTTGAAAAGACAAGTGACAAAGGTTTCTAAATGTGTTTGAATAAGGAAAAGGTGTTTTGCAGATGTTAAACATCTATCGTAAAATAAACATTTCGTAGTATTAGTAAGTATAATTTAATCTTCATAATAAAATTAGTCCATGTTATGGAGATTATTTTTTAATAAAGATTGAATATTTATATTAAACAAAATGTAATATATTTATTTATTGAGATAAAATATGTTTATAAATAATTTAGAACGGCAACTGCTACTTATGACATCGTTTGAATACAAATTCTAATACTTGTCTTTTGTGATTTTGCAGTTTTTCTAGAAAAGTACCTTAACATTTAGAATTACATATGTGTCGACTATTTACATGACTTTATATTTTATTTACATGAACTTACACATTTCTGATATTTTTACGCACAAGTATTTATTCGCGTGAATTATTTTATAACCAAATTTATTACATCATTAATTATTTTATTATAGCACGCCTCGTAGGTTTATCACAATTTTTACCTCCATTTTAATTATGGCTGTTACTGTTCGACCGACCTTCACTGCGTGCGCTTGTCGCGTTTCTCCACGTTGTAAGCTTGGGCGACGCGTTTATAAAATATACGTCTTGACGCCCTTGTTGATGACATTTATCAATTGTGTTAAATTACAAGTAATTCTCTACTCTAATACTAATTGTTACCAAATGCAAAAACACTAAAACAATACGATACAAATTTTAAAATATGTTTCTCTTACGCAGATTGTGTTATGTTTATCCGCAGAAAATGAAAAATGATTTATTAATGAAAAATGATTTATTACTTTAACAAAAAAGCAGAAAGGATTTTAATTCATGTTTACTAAGGAGTATATACATATTTGTATATAATTTGTATAATATAATCACCATCTCAAAGGACGGCAACGCATCTGCGGTTTCTTTGGTATTGCTGATGTCCATGGGCGTCGCTGAACACCTCGGTGTTTCGGGTGCTCGTATGCCCCCTTCTGTTATATAAAAAAAGGTTTCGTGAATGTTAAGAGATGTAAAAGAGAATTCAAATATACCCAAGATATTCTTTCGCTTCACTAAAAGCGACAAAGCGTGTCTCACATATATACCAATTCTTGTGTGGCATTAATCATGTAAAAATGAGTTCTTCGTCTGTATTGGCACGACTTTACATTTCGTAATTATCCTGGGTCACTGACACTACCAAGACTTTTATATCTTTGCAACCATTTTACGATATCTGCATCTCGGTCAAGGACTCTACAAAACGAGTCTACATTGTTGTCAAGTCGTATAAGCATATTATCCGTGGCATTACATTTATAGGAACGGCGTTAGGATAGAGCGCGGTTGGGCGACCGCCTAGGGCGCTAGACAGAAAGGGGCGCCACAGGTCTGCGAATCACACAATCTCATATAACACTGTTAACCGCATTCCCTACATGCGTGTTGAAAATAAGAGGGCGCGTAGAAATCTTGCCCAAGGCGCTGGTAGAGCAAAAAACCTTACTATATAGAAGGCAGCATCAACTTCTATAACAATGATCGCAATAAGTGCTTTTCCAAAATAAATAAGAACGGAGAATATCACTTTAGTATTGTTACTAATCCGACGTTCTTACGGCGAAGGAAATCATCGTGATGCAACCTGCATATATCTGAGAAGAAATTCAAAGATATGTGTGAAGTCAACCAACCCGTACTGGGCCAGCGTGGTTGACTATGGCCTAGTCATCCTTGGTTTAGGGTAGGCTCCGAGCCCCTCGGTGGGGACGTATAGTGAGCTGATGATTGTGATTGTTACTAATATTGTAAATGCGAATAGATGGATGGATAGACATACAGATAATTAAATCTATAAGCGAAAATTATAAAAGAAGTTCAACGATAGCGTTCTCGCACTCGCACCAATCAATTAAAATGTGCTGCTAGTGTGTTCACGTCATTATTTAGTAAGTTCATTGGTGCTATTGCACAGTCATTTTATAAGAGGAGGAGATAAATCATCATCAAGAGATTCGCAAGATGTTAATTTACCACTTGCAGATGCATTGCGAGACAAAAATAACATAAAGAAATATTGGATGACATCGAAATTGAAGTCGACTCACTCGTTTAAATTAAAAAAGTCCTTTTTGTTTTTCTGGCGAAGCGATTTATCTTTTTATTATCTCGTATAGCTCCGCAAAGTAGCAGTAAGATAATCTTAATAGTATAGTGATAACGGACATTCAAATATTTATACCTACGTTCATCTTTAGTGCTCAGTGTACACGAGATGCAGCATAGATGAATATCTCGCTCGGTACACAATTAAATTAGTGAATTAACAATGACATAATTGTCCTTTAACAGTTAATTATTTTATACATAGATTTATTTAATAATATGAAGCAAGTTATTAATATTCTTCTAATGATTCCAGATTATCCCTAACATTAGATTTTTTTTAATATTAAAAACAGCCCAATTAGGAAAGTATTTCGATGTACTTTTTTATGATGTTAATATAAGACCACCGAAAGAGACTGGCTGAATATCAATTGAAATTGAAGCAAATTATTCTTTACATAATTTCGTTTTAAAATGACAAAACCACCATAAGTTTAAGTGAACTATTTTCTAGATTTTAATATGTTATAGAATTACTTTATTTGTGCTAAAACGAAAATCTATATTTCCATTAACATCAATCAAAATTACTTTTGTACTACATATATTTATTAGCTACTTTTTAATGCTGCCACTAAAATGCTACATTCACTAGAGAATACCAGATGTTTGAACATTTTATTCAAAAGGTATATTCTTGTATTTTCCTCACGTAATGCCAACTCGTTCAGTTTTATAAGTAGCTACCTACTTTCACGTGTATGGTATGGATGTAAAAAATTTAAAACCTATTTTTATAATAGCTACCTTAAAAGTTTTACTATATCAAGTTATTTTAACAAATTGTTAAAAATTGAAGCAAAATATCAAGTGAGGCTTGAGGAGTTTTAATCGACCTCAAAAAAGGAGGAGGTTCTCAAATCCATTGGTATTTTTAAAGTAGTGCCTATTATTATTTGGTGATGTCAACATAACTGCGTTTCGGACGCGAGCTGTATAAAAATGAGGAAGCCTGCATATGAGTCTGAATTAAGAAGGCTGTGATATTCATACTTATAAAACCTTATTACCAGCTTTAATTTTTATTACGGTGGTACGTACTCGTTATCAGTAACTTATTGATTTAGTAATTAATTCAACATATACACATGCTATTTTTTATTCTTCACACTCTTGTAATAAAACATATGAATATTTTACAATGAACAACAATTAAGGAAATAGCAGTTTAATTGTTTATAATAGGGCTGTAAATTGAATGTCGTTACCTTACTGCTTCTTTTTCTTTTATTAGGGAACATAATAATTTCGAAGTGAATATCATAGGTACTTTATAAATAGCGTAAAAGGGTTTTATGAGACACTTGCTTCTATTTTTGACTGACCCAAATATTAAAATTTATCAGGATGTCTTATTTTTTAATGTCACCATCATCAATTTATATTTAAATATCCAAAGTATCTTACTAAACAAACTGATTTTTTATCAAGTGCGAATCCAGAAGTAATCTTACTATACTTATATGGAAATGAAAGTGTTAGTGAAAAAAAAGTCGCAACTCCAATCTGAATTGACCGGGCTCCGCCCTGAAATTCTTAGGACATTCGCGCATGTCAACTGCAAATATGTGTGGCAAGAAAATGTGTATTTATAATATAAATAAGCATGTGTCTTGCTATTAAGGAAATAGAGAAAAATATACTATACCCATTCATTCAATCATTAATTAATACAATTATCAATGTTTATTTCATAGTCTTTAAACTTCTTTGTAGATTCTTCAATAAAATACTATTACCTGATTTTATCATCAGAAAAAAAAACACTAAAAATTGTAGGTTGATTAACTATGTCTTAAATATAATTAAGTTCAGTATTGTACATGTTATTACTTAAGAGTATGGTAATTTGAAAGACATGTATAACACACCTATGACATATGCGCACTATAAGAGCTATTATGTTGTAATTACAACTAATATGTGTATTTGTACTGTACATCATGTTGTATACTGTTTTCTTTGTGAAAATGCTAAATAACTGGCTCCTACACAAAAGTTTATTGTGCCTCTGTTTAATATTCATAAAACCTTGTAAAACACGAGAATCATTTAGGAAAGCATAACGAAGAACGAGGATGACTACGGCATATTTATGTATTTCTTTTTCTTGTAACGTGATTCTATCTTAAAACAACTTCGAACTGCAGCAAATAAGATACTTGTGTAAAAAAGTACAGTAACCTGTAATTGTTAATCTATATCATTGAATGAATAGTACAATAAGGTTTTTATTGAATTGATTTTTCACCTTATGTATATTATAAAGGCTTTATTAAATGCAGTCAACACAATCAGAGCCACTGCTTCACCTGATAAGTGCTTCCATAAGTAGCATGGAATGTGTTAACTTGTCATGTGTAATTTTTTTCTAAAATAAAAAGTTGAAGGATAAATTAAAGACCAATTTGAAGACAACATTTATTTGAAGACTACAGACCTACAATGGATTATTTACTACAGATAACATATTGAATTACATTATGCGTAATTTCAAATATTAATGGCAATAACATAGATTGCAGAATACATAATTCAATAGCAGTAATGTTAAAGCGTTTATTTTTAGGTTATGAATGCAAACTTTGGAATACACTGCAATTATTTGGCTTCCTACAAAATAGGATGTATGAATATGTGTGTGAATATTTAATTTTTGACCTACTCTACCTTTTACTACATTCTACTTACTACCAATCGTAGACATGAAAGATAAGTGAAAATTTAATACTTTGGTTGAATTCTATTGAAGACATTATTTATGGGTATTCAAGTACAATTTTCTACACACAAAGCGAAAATCCAAATCTTGTAGCGATGGAACGGTACTCTCTTTTACATTTGAGAAGCTCAACTTTACGCAATTTCGTTGGTCAGCACAAATACATTGATCGGTTGCAGACTGCGGTTGATGGGTTTTTTGTTCTTTGGAACTTGATCTTGTGCTGACAGGCTTTACTGGATCAGCAATTGTATTATAGCTATCAATATTACGAGTCAGCATGAAATTGGAACTTGGATATATCAAAAAAGCAAACAATGTTAAAGCAACCAAACACTGTATAGGTATGGCTGTAGACCAGTACTTGTCTGGGTAATAATAAATGTTAAAATAGTGTAAAAAATAGTCAGGAACAAAAGCCCAAATACAATAAACAGTCAAAGCAGTCTTGCTGAACAAATATAAAATGAAACCATACAAAGATCTTGCGGGGGTTGGGGCCGGTGTGTGTTCTGCCATTGTTGTGCAGAAATTAGCCAAATCCAAATTCGCTCAGAGTCTTGATGATGAGTAACAAATTTTTAAATGTAGAATTAACAGCAACACGTAACTTCCTTGTATCAGTCCCCTCGAAGATTCTGAAAAAATAATATATTTAAACACAAAATGTTTAGAAAAAAGAAACACAAGAGGTAGAAAAGTACAAACATTGCAAGCTCCGTGTTGTTTAATGTCACATATCTCTTCACTTTGTTCCCCTTCAGATCCTCGTCAACCTTAATAATCTCATAAGCAATAATTGCTTCATGCGGTGTCCTAAAAGGAAGGCTCAGGCTTCTGCAACATACATCAAGGCATATTGCGTATAACATTAACAGTTATTGTATTGCGCAGCACTTTCAATCAATTGGTAATACAACTCAAAGCAGACACAAAAGATATGATGAAAACTGACAAATAAATATTATATGATGAATGTGATATAATAAGAGGAATAATATTTTAAGAAATTAATAAAATAACAACATAAAATTAACTTTTCATAAGACATGCGCCATATTAAAAATCAATATATCAAATAAGGTTTTCCAGAACAAGATATTAGTTGTAAAAGAAGAAATCCTACATATTTTTCAAGGTCTCTTGAGCCATGATTGTATTTAGCGATTCAAATATTAGCACTGTAAACAAATTTTTATTTTAGTACACGAAATTACACCTTTAAAGACAGACAAACTAGAGAAGCCGGACTTCAAATAATCGATACAGCACAAATTGAAGTGTCAACTGTCAAACTGAAATTCGAAATATCATCATAGTCTGAATGTTGCTAGTAAATTTATTTTCCATGCTCGGTGTCACCATTGCTGGATGTTAAAGTTTGGGTTTGACCAACAATATAAAAACCTTGTCATGAGTGGGATTTCCGTAATATGTTGTATTTTTCTGGACAGTCTATAATGTAAAGCTAATCAATAAGCCCGACTGACTGTATCCAACACTTAACGGAAGCATACAATTCGAATAACGCTTCTGCGGTTCCACTGATGTTGAGAATGGGCGTCTAATCAACGAATATTAGGCGAACCGTTGCTCACTTGCCCCTATTTCTATAAAAAATGGAATGGCTACACATAATATTGTTATTGTTTTTTACAAAGATAATGAGCCAGATATAGAAAAGCTTTTGTATGAATTCGGCAGTGAAAGCACAAGGTGACAAAACAAATAATTATAGGGTCTATAAAAACTTTATCATAAAGAGGAAAGATTTTATTTTTTGTTTGCAATGAATGTTTCGAAACTACTGCACCAATTTGAAAAATTCTTTCACTTTTGGGAAGCTATATTGTCTTCAGGTGACAGGCTATATTTTTCATTTTTATCTTACTCTAAGATGTTGCGAGCAACTGCTAGTTATTAAAGATACATATTTTGACCAGAACCAGAAATGTTACAAATATTGTTAAAGATTATCGCTATACCACGGTAGGCACATGTCCCAAAAAATCTCAGTTGTTTTCTAACATATTGTTTTAAAAATAAAAGAACGATAATCTGTAAAAGGTTTTATTAATATTTGAAACACAATTTACTATATACAAATTACTTTGTAAAAATATTTATTCTCGTCTTATTATTTAATGATGATTTATTTATTGTTATAGGCGACACTTAAAACGATATACAAAACTTTATGAAATAAAAAAAAATATTATGAAAAAATGTTATCATTTGCAACCATTGTAGGGAATAAGTACACAGAACATTGTATTTATGGATTTGATTATACAGTATACAACATAAATCAATATATTATTTATTTCATTATAAAAAAAAACAATTATGTCACCGATCATAATAACAACAAAATCAATGGCATTCTCCATTTCATATTAAATAATTCTATATTGTAAATCGTATGGCGTAAACAAATGTAAATTGCGTTTAAACATAATTTATGTGAAACTAAGGAAAAGCAAAATTATCTCTCTCCTCAATAGTTAACGGTTGTCCCGTTACGTACATAATCTACAAAACAAATCAAAATTCATTTAGTTTCGTTATTTGACTGTGTGGCGGAATGATATATATATTTTTTTTAATTTAAAATTACTTCAACATAGGCCGTATAAAACAGTCTAAATACAAACAAGCAAAATAATTCCTATTTTCCGTTTTAATGTATACGGATTGTATATATTCATGTATATATAGTCTAAATAGTTGTATATAACATGTATAACGCATATAATTACCCGTCCTCAGCCTGTAAGAACATTATAGAAAGCCATATCACGAGTTGTAAACGTTATTGCTTAAAGTACGTACTCTCAAGTACCGAGTCCATAGAATAAAGAATGAAATCATGATTCAATGTATTTAACAATCCCAATCCCTTTCCTATACATTTTCATAAGACATCCTATAAATATAATATTTCTATCTCTGTCAACTCGTGATGCTTTGTTTTATAACAAGCAGATAAGCAAGGGGAGTGTAGTTTACAAGTAGTGTTTGCCTTTTGGCCTGAATCTGAGTATTAACACTAATTTTACATTGATGTAAACAATAATTTAACATGAATGTACAGTAAAATAACGCAATGAAGTCCAAACGCATAATAGTTTCGCGGTATTAGATTGTGAGGTCAAGACTGTTGACCTTTAATTTACATATTGTAAAAATAACAATCAACAGAATTTAAATGTTACATCAAATTGACCCACCCTCAAGGTCACGTTAATAGTATCAGACTTATTGTGTCACAAACTTTAATAAATGAATATGGATATTGAATATTCAGCTTGGAAAATTGGAGTGTAAAGTAATAAATGTGTACAACCAAATAACATGAAGACAGTTTTGTAGAAAAAGATAATGAGTGGGAAAAAGTTAAAGCAGTATTTATAACAACCAATACTAGTATTTTTTTATATAAAAATGATGTAGCTCCCATTTCATATTGCAAATGACTCATCTAGGATATCGTGGTATAGATAACATGTGTCTAATAGCTAATAAGGCAAAGTTTAATCAAGCAAATATGTATTCACTACTAATAAACTGCACTACGCCCAACTTCCTGCAGGGGTCCTAGCGGCGCGGGCCCCATGCGGCGGGCGCAGGCGCGGCGTCGGCTGGCGCGGGCGCCGGAGCACCGGGCATGGTGGGGAACTCATGCGTGGAAGCAGTGTCTGGCGCGCGCTGCTCCCACGGCCCACCCTTCACCACAAAGCCTGTGGAGGCCGCGGTGCCGCCGCCGCCGCTGCTGGGAGCCGTAGTCTCGTTGTTGAGAACGTCTCCAAAGTCGCCGAGAGACGGCGCCGCTGGACGCTGGTATCGATCGACGACGTCTTGCAGCTGTTTAATATATTAATACATTACTCATATAAGTCTGTAATTTTGGCACTTTTATTATTTAGATTTTTTTAAACTTACATATTCCTCTGCCAGATTCAACAAATGGTCCTTTGCATCGAGCACGTTGTCCTCGTCTCCGGTGATAACGACAATGCTCTCGTCGCCATGCTTGGGGAAGCGGATGTCCACCTTGTACTCGTCCATGATACGTCGGATATTCTTTCCCTTGAGACCAATGAGTCGTCTGTGCACGCGCGGGTCGATATCAACTTCATCACGGTATTGATTATCCTAAAATAAAATGATGAAGTTAGTTATAAAATTACTAGTGTATCTAATTATAATTGTTAACATATTACCAGATCCTAAATAGTGACAAATATGTAAATGTTTAAAATAACTTACAAGTTGATGTACAATAGCCATAATGGCATCCTTGGCCTGCTGCGCCTTGTCCTCATAACCCTGAATGGTGATGATATCGTCATCGGGCTCGCCGCGTTTAGGTAAGTTGATTTGTACTCCAAAATCAGTGCGGATCTTTGTGATCACTGATCCACCTTTCCCAATGACCAATGGATGGTATTCAGGGTCCACTTTGAATTTCAACTCGAATGACCTATAGTAAATATAATTTACTATTAAATATTTGAAACAAAAAGTTAGAAACCATACAACAGGAATGTAAAAGAGGTAAGATAATTATTTATTATTATAACAATAATTGACGCACGGCGTTAAAGTGTTTGTATGTTTGTCAATTCCATTGTGACCTACTCGACTTAACTGAATTAGAAGTGAGCTGCAACTCAAGTGATATATATATATCTTTTTTTTAATTTATTTTATAAAGATTAAACATTTTTATGTACTTTCTATGCAATAAATAAAATCTAAAACTACTGGTCTATGCGAACGAAGTGGCGGTTAAAAGGTAATTTAATTAAAGGTCTTAGGAATAAGGCGATAAATATATTTAGGGCCAAGACGTGTAGTCGCCATTTTGTGATAACAAGCTATAGTATAAGGCAAATGTCAACTTCGTGCAGGAAAAAACTTTTCGTATTTCCGAAATATGTGCGCATGAAAATGCGTGCATATAACCATGCTTGTAAAAATTGACTATTTATTTAGCTATGAAATTAATAAAATTATATAATAGTAAGTAAAAAAACCGTACACATAATGTATTTGCAGGTGTTTCCCGTTGGGTCATTCGGCCGAGCGATAAATCGTTCCAATGGGAAAAAACCATTTGTCTGATTAATCAGTAGAATGATCGGCCCGACAAGAAGCACCCAATTTGCGTTGCTTATAACGAAAGTACAATTATAACATTTTTTTCTGTCTTTTAGTGATTTGACGTGACTTTTACTGGAAGGGAGCAGATGTGTGCGGGAGGGGATTAACTTAGGCTATTTTTTTAAATATCTCGATAAAGAAGGCGGGGACAACCGCTAGTATAAATATAAATATTTAAATTATAATCCAATGTTTGTGGAATATTGGCTAAATATAAAAGATATATAAACTATGGACGTCAAATACAGCATGCACCTTTATTCCAATGCATAATGATAATTTTTTTTATTTAACACAAATGTAAGCAACACAGGAATTATTTTAAAAGGTTAACCTTGAACATGCTTAAAAAGCAGCTGTGTAAAGACCTGGACAAAATGTAACAAACTATGTAACAATTGCTGTGAATGTTCTAATGAGATTTTTATTTATAAAATTTTGCTATTATTAATTTAAGTATACTTTTATAAGAATTAGCTTAAAATCAATAGATAATAGATATAAATAAAATAAATAACCTGAGAAGTCGATCTTCCTTTTCTTTCTCCATCTCACCAATTTTTTCAGCAAGAGCTTGTTTGGCTTTTTCCACATTAGCTGGAGTTCCAGTCACCTAAAGTAAAAGTTCATTTTGTTTAGTCATGTTAAACACTGATTAATATTGTATTTGTATTTTTCAATATTTTTATTTTATTTTAATACCAACCTTGACCTGATCACAGATCTCCTCAGCGGGAGGCATCAGGATATGGACATCATAAGTTTGCATCAGCTCTCTCCTCTTCTGACCGGCGAGTAGTTTGTGCAAATCAAAAGGCACATCTACATCTATTGTTATTGGGACCTATAAAGAAACATTTTATTTTTAAGTCCTAAAAAATTACCTTAAAAGAGTCAACAACAGGTTACAACGGAATTGACATGCTTACAAACTTGCATATATCAGCCAGCGATATCAGTTGGACAAGGAAGAAATTTAAAAATATCCAAATACCTGTTCTAATAGCGCTTTCTTCGCGGCCTCGCAGTTTTCTGGGCGACCAGTAATCTTGATGATGTCGTTGGCGCCGGGCTCCCCGTCCTCGTTTTTCACTGGCATATCCGCACCCTCCGGGTTGTCG